TTATTATGAGGTTATTACCGCTATGCCATGGCCTGGGAGTGTGTGTTTGTTGAAACCACGGTAAAAGCGGTTTTGTTTATAGACATATTTGACTTGGTGAGTTCTAGAATGTTTAGAGGCGTTCATACAACCATACATGTATTTAGAGCGGTTGTTCTGTCTTCTCAAAACAGAAAATCCCCAATTCACGTGTTCTTAATATGTTTGCCTGCAGGCTAAACAGTTAAATGAATAAATAAAGACATAATAGTATCATTTTAAAAGAAGAGTGAATCATTTTAACATTGCTCACTATTGAGGTATGTTCTTTAGGCGACTCATGGTATGATAGAAGAACATTTAGTTAGTTGTTGTTTAAATGATTATCAATATGACCTACTTTTGGTCTACGATGCTTGGTGCAATCAAGAGGAAGTGCATGAAAATCATTGTGGTTTACCCAGTGCTTAGTTTTGTGTTTGTCAAAGCTTTTCAACCATTATGTAACCAAATGCAGCTGTGTGTAATGCACTTATCTGCCATCTAACGTATTTGCACTGGATAGTGGCCAACCAAAACAAAATGGCACAGCATGTAGTTGATTGCTTCTCAGAAGAATATTAATATCTGAGTCTTTTTACGCTGTTTTATCTGCATTCTCTTGATGCAAACTGTGGAGTAAGCCACTTTCTATCTGCCCTCTGCAGATGAGATGAGGGTTAGATAACGAGAATTGTCAAGTGGCTGTAGCAACCATATCCTGATCATCAACAGCCTGAACATTCAAAACATACCATGTTATCACGGTTCTCACACTGTTAGTTTATGTTAGTTTGTTAGAGTCCAAAAAGCTTCGTGATTGAGTTGACTTGTAAGACATTGGATGCGAGTGCATTTTCATTTCTTTCTGAAGTCATAATGGATGAAATCTCTTCTCAGCATAATTGATTAGTTGTAATTAATCGATTAACTAGTTACTACCTCACATTGAATTATGTTTTACAATGGCTGCAATGTGATGTACAGTGCCTTGCGATAGTATTCGCCCCCCTTGAACCTTTCAACATTTCGCCACATTTCAGGCTTCAAACATAAAGATATAAAAATTAAAAAATGTTGTCAAGAATCAACAACAAGTGGGACACAATCGTGAAGTGGAACGACATTTATTGGATAATTTAAACTTTTTTAACAAATAAAAAACTGAAAAGTGGGGCGTGCAATATTATTTGGCCCCCTTGCGCTAATACTTTGTAGCGCCACCTTTTGCTGCAATTACAGCTGCAAGTTGCTATCAGTTTTGCACATCGAGAGACTGGAATTCTTGCCCATTCTTCCTTGCAAAACAGCTCGAGCTCAGTGAGGTTGGATGGAGAACGTTTGTGAACAGCAGTCTTCAGCTCTTTCCACAGATTCTCGATTGGATTCAGGTCTGGACTTTATAAAGGCCAGTTTAGTGCAGTGCACGACTGATTGTTGTCCTATGGACAGACTCTCCCACCTCAGCTGTAGTTATCTGCAGTTCATCCAGAGTGATCATGGGCCTCTTGTCTGCATCTCTGATCAGTCTTCTCCTTGTTTGAGATGAAAGTTTGGAGGGACGGCTGGGTCTTGGTAGATTTGCAGTGGTCTGATACTCTTTCCATTTCAATATAATTGCTTGCACAGTGCTCCTTGAGATGTTTAAAGCTTGGGAAATCTTTTTGTATCCAAATCCGGCTTTAAACTTCTCCACAACAGTATCTCGGACATGCCTGGTGTGTTCCTTTGTCTTCATGGATCTCTCTGCGCTTTAAACAGATCCCTGAGACTATCAAAGAGCAGGTGCATTTATACGGAGACTTGATTACACACAGGTGCATTCTATTTATCATCATCAGTCATTTAGGACAACATTGGATCATTCAAAGATCCTCACTGAACTTCTGGAGTGAGTTTGCTGCACTGAAAGTAAAGGGGCCGAATAATATTGCACGCCCCACTTTTCAGTTTTTAATTTGTTAAAAGAGTTTAAATTATCCAATAAATTTTGTTCCACTTCACGATTGTGTCCCTCTTGTTGTTGATTCATGACAAAGAATTAAAATTTTATATCTTTATGTTTGAAGCCTGAAATGTGGCAAAATGTTGAAAGGTTCAAGGGGGCCGAATGCTTTCGCAAGGCACTGTATATGATGATGGAAATAGTTTTTCACTCTTAGTTGCATCTGTTCTAACAGGACAGACAGGAGCGTGATTCAACTGTTGCACAATGCGTCTTGGCAGATGTGAAATAGAGATTATAACTGAGCAATCCTTGCCTGACATTTGAGCTGTTCAGATGTGTTGAACATGTCCTATCTTGGTACATTCCAATCATTCAGTAGTCATTATAAATAGTCTGCTTGTTTTCTTAATAACAATAAACTCTCCCCTTAAGTTATGTAACTCTTTGACAACCACAGCCACTGAGAGACATTGTCCCTCCAGCGTGGCCTGGGTCTTCCCCGGGGCCTCCTCCTGGTGGGACGTGCCCGGAACACCTCCCCAGGGAGGCGTCCAGGAGGCATCTGGAACAGATGCCCGAGCCACCTCAACTGGTTCCTATCGACATGGAGAAGCAGCGGCTCTACTCCGAGCTCCTCCCGTGTGACTGAGCTCCTCACCCTATCTCTAAGGGAGCGCCCAGCCACTCTGCGGAGGAAGCTCATTTCAACCGCTTGTATCCGCAATCTCGTTCTTTCGGTCATTACCCACAGCTCATGACCATAGGTGAGGGAGGGAACGAAGATTGACCGGTAAATCGAGAGCTTTGCCTTTCGGCTCAGCTCTCTCTTCACCACAACGGTCCGATACAGCAACCGCATCACTGCGCACGCTGCACCGATCCGCCTGTCAATCTCACGCTCCATTCTTCCCTCAATCGTGAAAAAAGACCGCGAGATACTTGAACTCCTCCACCCACCCGGAGAGGGCAAAGCACCTTTTTCCGGTCGAGCACCATGGCCTCGGATTTGGAGGTGCTGATACTCATCCCAGCCGCTTCACACTCGGCTGCAAACCGTCCCAGTGCATGTTGCAGGTCCTGGTTCGTTGCAGCCAACAGGACAACATCAACCACAAACAGCAGAGATGAAATCCTGTGGTCGCCAAACCGGCCCCCCTCTGGCCCGTGGCTGCGCCTAGAAATTCTGTCCATAAACCCGTCGCAAGGGGGGTGCGAGGCCCTGTGCGAACTCGAAACGCGAGGCCCTGCCCTGACACTTTTTTTCCCAGATCTGAGGAAAGTTTTTCCTGTTATAAGCTTTGACATGAATTCAGCACCACCTCGCGCGGTGCGTGAAGAGATCAGCACGCGCGTAGCAGAGTGTCTTTGCTCCAATGCAGCGTTCGGCGCGCGCACGCACACACGCACACACACACTACGGCGCTTGGTATTGCGATATTGGTCGCGGTCTTTTTAGCTGACATGTCTCTTTCGTCCTGTGGCAAAATGGCAGAGCAACTCAAAAGTCACACACTCTGACAACATACGATCCTTCTCCTCCTCCTCCACACTGACCACAACAACATACTCTTCACCTCCTCCTCCACACACTCTGACCACAACAAAAATAGCGTTTTATGCCCAAAATCCACTCCACTCGCAGTGGGCGCTAAAGCTAGATATATAGTGTGTTTGCTAATGCTTTTAAAAATATGTTTTTGATGTGGATATTCGGACTAAACATTGGCAATAGCAGCGCTCACACACCTGTCACACCGCTGATCCTCCTCCTCCTTCTCTGCTCACACAAAGGGGTCTGCTCCTCTGCTCACACCTGTCTCGCTGCTCCTCCTCCGCGAGTATCCATCTCTCCTACACTTCGATCATTCCCGTTACTTTCTTTGTATCTCACTCAGACACTGCTAAAGTTATCTGACAGCTCCGTAAAGTTTTTCGGAAGACCTGCTGTGTACATAGCTGCCCGCGCCTGCCTGCTTACAAATCGCTTTTGGTGAAAATTTGACTTTACTTGTAAAAATTTTCTTTTGATCAAACGAAATCGAAGAGGTCCAGAGAAAGGGGTTTAGGGGTCCTAACTTGGAGTGCAGTCTGCCCTTTGGGGACCCTTGAACTAGTGTATTTATGAAATAAAAAAAAAGGAAGGAAGATTGCGAGGCCCTGTGCGACGGCACAGGTTGCACAGCCCTTCCGACGGGCCTGCCCCCAGGGGTCTCGTCCCGGTGGGACACGTCTGTAACACCTGCCCAGGAAGGCGTCCAGAAGGCATCCGGAACAGATGCCCGAGCCACCTCAACTGGTTCCTCTCGACGTGGAGTAGCAGCGGCTCTACTCCGAGCTCCTCCTGTGTGACTGAGCTCCTCACCCTATCTCAAGGGGTGCGCCCAGCCACTCTGTGGAGGAAGTTCATTTTGAAAACTTGTATCCACGATCCCGTTCTTTCAGTCTTTATGCAAAGCTCCTGACCATAGGTGAGGGAGGCTGCAAACCGTCTCAGTGCATGTTGAGGGTCCTGGTTCATCAGAGCCAAAAGGACAACATTGTCGGCAAAAAGCAGAGAGGAAATCCTGTGGTCTCCGAACTGGACCCCCTCCGTGATGGGGGATTGTGGAGAACCTCAAAGTATTCCTTCCACCGCCCAACAATATCCCCAATCGAGGTCAGCAGCTCTCTGCCCGCACATGTACACGGTGTTGGCAAAGAACTGCTTCCCACTCCTGAGGGGATCGGGGGCCGGTCTTCCCCGTCACCAGCCCCCAGGAGAGTCCCCGGTCGATGCACCATCCAGTGTCCCTCCCAAGGACTCCAAGAAGGCTGGGTACTCTGCACTGCTGTTTTGCTCGTAGGCCACCACAACAGTGAGAGACTTGTCCCCCACCCGGAGACTTGTCCCCCCATCACTCCAACACGTGATGGGGGGCAATGAGCATCGCAATAACTTATTTTAACTTGAATTGTGTTTCAGAACTGTTAATTGTGAGACACCATGGCACAGTGGTCCCAGATGAACCAGCTTTTCCAGTATCTGTCCCACGAGATGGTGAACGATCTGTACCCTTCCACTTTCCCCATCGATGTGCGCCACTTTCTGGCCGACTGGATTGAGCAGCAGATCTGGTGAGGCTCAGTTAAGATGGGACATTATTCTGTGGTATTGTGGTGCATGAAACAGTGTTTTTTGACTTGTAGGGAGGACTTTGAGCCTGGTAAAACTGAGCTGGAGTCCAGGGCCAAATATCAGTTGGACCAAGTTATAAATTTGCTTCAAATGATCTCGGAGCAGAACAGCAGCATCGTGGACAAGATGAAGCTGCGACAGATCAGCAAAACTCTGGTACGCAATCATAATGTTTAATGACCATGGAATCTGGTTTCCTCACTAGAGATTGGCCATATACTGTATCTGTCAATATTTATGTTTTCGTTCTTCAGGCAAATACGCTATGATGGCAGCTAATTTTGTCACTAGTTTTCACAGGGAAAGAACCAGAGTAATACTGTTACTGTAACATTAAAAGTCATCTATAAATCAGTCAACAGCAGATGACCCAATCGTCAACAAATTCAAACCCTTCCAAATTCTGCGTCCATACAAATCAGCCTCGAGTAGTTCACTTTTTATCCCATAATAATGTAAACAATTTGCACAAGGCACATGTGTTGAACATATAATAATGACATCCCGAGTCCACTTATACTATAGTATAGTTTTATGCAGATCAAATTATTTTTTTATTCCACTACAACTAAATAATACACATTTGGACTCCTATTCCAGTTCCCAAGCCTTATAAGTACTTGTTTTGGCATTCAACCTCCTATGACAGGAAGCAGGGTTTGATCCGGACATTGTTATTACAATTTTTCAAATGACCTTAATATCTCTCTTCATCAGTGGCAGTCGTTGGCGCATACATTGTGTGTTTTTTTGGTGGGCGGATGTCACACAGTCTGCTCTCGCTCATGGGTTATGTAGCAGCTTAGATAAAAATGCTGCTAGCAGGATGGTTAAAACAGATCAACAATAGTCGCACAACCACACACAAATATGGACAGACGTGAGACAGCTTTGTTCAAAAGCTTGTGGCCATAAAATTTAACCAAAACATTTCAGGATTAAAAAGTTAGCATTAATTTAGTCCTCTCCGGTTAAATTGTTTTTTTTGGTTCTTTTGAAAAAACTTCACTTGTCTTTCAAAATAACTAAAAAGAACAATTTAACCAAAAAACTAACTAAACTAAGGTTCTTATCTTTACAAACTTATCAATACAGACAAAAACGTGTTGAGTCGATGTAAACCCTGAGGAGTGAAGAAGATTACACTTTGACATGAAGCGGTTGTTGTCACACATTACACATTTAACGAAAGCAACACAACTACTTGCTGTGGTGTTGCTGTTGTAAACTTTCCAGTCTTCTTTTTTGTATAGAAAGTGTAATATTTTATTTTAAAAGTTTACTTATAGATCTTTCTTTTAATTTTTGGTATAAGTCTGTACTTCTACATATGAATCCAAATGGACTTATTCTGCACCGACATACCAGTAACCGTGCCACTCAGGCCAACCCTTTGCTTTGCTCCGTGTAGGGGGTATATTTCCAACCTCGGCCTCTGGACTTTGGAGTGTTGGTCAGAGACATCCTCAGGAAGGAACAGTATCTGCTAAGCAATGTGAGATTTAGACATTTGAATATTGTTGAAAATGTCGTCGTCAAAAGGACAATTTCTGACAACCGTTATGTGTTTAGTGCCCTCAGATCTCGTGCTCTCAGTATGCACCAAAGCCCACAGCTCCAGAGATCACCATGGACCAACTGGTCAACAAAGTGCTCGAGATCCAAGACATCCGACAGAAGATCCACGTGCTGAAAGAAGAACTCAATCTGGACCAGGAGAGGTTTGAAGCCATGGGGTCACAAGGTGAGATTTTATCATTTGAATGTGACATATTGTGCCTTTTGAAGAGGTGGTGATCAACCATAAACACCGTTTTACACATGTATTTCTTTGAGGGACAAACAAATACATGTGTAAAACATGTATTTGTTTTACACATTTTATTTGTTATAAAATAAAATTATGGGGTGCAACTATTATGGTATTATAATATTACACAGTGCTACACATATCGCCGACAGTCAAGATTCACCAGATTGGCAAGATCCATCATCAAAGAATTAGTAATCTAATTATGTTCAGTAGTTGACATTCACACATTGTGAAGACTGCATTTTTTATTGATTATTATTTAAGAATAGTCTTTCTCAGATGTTTATTGTGCTGGGAAGTTTAAAATGTGACTACAAACAGTAACTGCTATGCTTGTTAAGTCTTATTTACACTGTTGATTTAGCAGGCACAAGTATATTGGGACATGAAAAATTATCGTCATAATCCACTACTCTGACCCCTTTATTCTGATGTTTTGTTTGTGATGACCATTGCTATGTAGTGGCAAACAAAGCCCTGCATGTCTTATTTAAACATAGCAATTAATGTCTTGACATTTTAATCCAATAACAATGAAAGTGGAGAAACACAGATCCTGCGTTTCTTTATAATCTTGATGCTTTGGTTTAATTATCTGCTGATGCCCAATTTGATACCATTGAATGACTGAAAATAGCTTTTCTATCAAAGTACAAATAGCTTGTTACAAAATGGGCCTAACTGTGATATTTACTGTTGCTTAAATAATTTGATCAATCAAGGTCAGTCATGTTCTGGGTTAATACCAGGCAAAAAATAATATGATTTCTCGAGCTGAAAGGCCCAATCAGGATAATGGCTCAATCATAATCCAACAAACTTTCCTGGTTTGGCAATAATATTCAATAGCAGTATCGGGGCATCCCTAACTGTATTAAAGTACATTAGAAATTGAGGTATTAGTGATGTGATCTTCATCCTTTTTTAGGCTCAGTGATGCAGAATGGTCGAGATCTGTCCAGTGAAGATCCTCAGAAAAATCTGCGTATTTGCATAGAGCAGAAAAAGTACAATCTGGAATCTATGGCTCTGGTGAGGATTATTATAATGAACAATTTACTTTTAAATCAGTGACTCTGTGTAAAGCTAATGTTGTTTATGTAGACCAGAGTCCATCTACTGCAGGAGTGCGTGCAGCGACTGGAGCAGTATCAGCACGACCACATCTTCAAACTCGAGCGATGGTGCTACGAGCAGCACAAGTCTGCCATTGGACACCCATTTGATGACAACCTACTCCCCCTGCAGAACGGGTCAGTAACTGTCATGGCCCAAACAACCCAAAACCAAAAGCAACCAAAAACATTAAACAACATAATATATATTTCATTATCATACTCATTTATTGGACTTCACAGACTCCAAAACCCATTTATACAAAGGTCCCACCTCTGTAAAAAAGAAAAGAAAAATCTCTCGAACCCTAATCTAGTTTTATTTCAGCTATCTACTGTCTTTCACCCAGTTTATTTTGGCCCTCTACGGTCTTTGACTGAGTTTCATGTCTCTTCTGTCTCTTATAATCTTCTCCACTAATTTCTCGCTTTTGTGTTTGACAGTGATCACTCATGATGTTTGAACAAACTCTCATCACATTTGTTACAAGCAGCTCCATGTATATCTTTAACCAGACTGATTAATTGCATGAAATGTGTGTTGTGTTTTGTGTGTACGTAGGTTTGAGCAGTTTCTGGAGATGAATGCAAAGCTGCGTCAGGAGGTATTTTTAGTTGGAGATCCGGCCACTGTAGGTCTTACAGAGAAACTCACCTCCCTTCTCACTGACCTAGTTCAAAGGTATCAGCCCGTCCTTTTAATCTATTCAGAAATATTGTATCCTCTTTTTTTATTCACAAAATGTTCCTTCCCAACCACAGCTCTCTTGTTATTGAAAAGCAGCCTCCACAGGTAATCAAAACACAGTCTAAATTCTCTGCATCTGTGCGGTACCTGTTTGGAGATAAGATCGCGCCAGGAAAAGCCGCCATGTTGAAGGTGCAGATCATCAATGAACAGCAGGCACGAGGGCTGAGGCAGGGAGGACTACCGAGGTGAGACACAAGACACAAGACAGGAAATCCTCTGAAACACTACCAAGAACTGGCACAGTAATATCATTTTTCATCATAGTAACCATCAACAATGAAATGGTAGTACTAACTCGAAAAGATGTGCAACTTCTGTTTATGACAATGTAAGGATTTTACCTTAAAGTCAGACCACAACAGAGTAACAGGTCATTGTCCTACTGGGAGGTAAATATCCACCCAGTCTCAAATGTTTCGCTGACTCAAGAAAAGTTTTCTTCCATCTAGTGTGTTAATGTAGCACTACCCAGTAGTGAGAGTAGATTACAAAGGTGGGCTCTACAACAATATTATGTATCATTTAGCTTTCACCTCACAGTTGTGGTCTTTCATGTTTTTTTATTTGTATGTTTCTGGTCGTAAACACATCAAAATATGAAACAAAAAATGAAACAAAAAAACGTTGTATTTGTACTTTTGCAAGCCACTGTATTTTGTGTGTGTGTGTGTGTGTGTTCGCACTGGGTTGGATGGCTCACTGATTCATTGCTTTAATGTACACATTTTTCCTTACATGCTTTTCCAAAATATGGGAGTCTACATGGGCAATGCAGTAGATACAGTTATTATTTTTTTTTCATGGATGCGTGACAGAAGTGTGTGGTCTGCACACAGCTACCACATCTGTAATTGCCATTTGTATTGGGGTAAGGAGTGTTTGCGTAAAGGGAACGGTCCTTTATTTTGAATAGTCTAGGTGGACCAATGAGTCATGTAGATTTCTGCTTCTCTAGAAAAGTTAAGAAGGTCTGCGATCCCTTATCATATTCCAGCCTTTGTACAGTTTTTCAATAAGAATAATATTTACTTGGATTAAAATTGTTTTGATTTTTTTCTTTTCGCAGTGATAATGTTGGGGAACTGATGAACAATACAGCTATCCTTGAGCACAATACCACCACAAAATCAACTTCTGCTGCCTTCAGAAACATGGTAAAGTGGCCCCTTACATTATAATCATACTGAGTCATTCTTGCATCTGAACTTGAATGTGATTGAACAGTCCATCAGAAAGATCAAGCGGGCAGAGAGGAAAGGCTCTGAGTGTGTGACAGAGGAGAAGTTCGCACTGCTGTTTTCTGGAGAGATCCACATAACCGGATGGGACTACCCCTACAGTATACATGTACAGCATACATTACCCTTTAACACTGCATAAAGGTTTGTCAGGTTCTGATTATCCGCTGCCTTTGACTTGCACAGGCGATCTCCGTGCCAATAGTGGTTATTGTTCATGGAAGTCAAGACATCAATGCTATGGCCACAGTTCTCTGGGATTGTGCTTTTGCAGAACCGGTGAGAAGTAACTTAAATAAAACACATTAGCAGTGTTTTGGTGACTGTATTTATTACTGTAATAGTTTACCTTGTAATAAATATTAGAAATAACCCTTTCAGAATGAAATATGCTGTATCACAATCAATTCATTACACAGTTTATGTATGACCTGTGTGTTCCCTGCTTCAGAACAGAGAGCCGTTCGTGGTTCCGGAGCGGGTGCCATGGAGACAGATGTGCAACATGTTGAATGTGAAGTTCACGTCGGAAGTGAACACTCGGCACTCTCTGAACGAATACAACCTGCTGTTTCTGGCCCAGAAGATCTTTGACAAGCACGACATATGTGACTTCAGCAACATGTTTGTGTCATGGTCCCAGTTCAACAAGGTACATTTACACAACTCATGTCTCAACTCAAGTCAATTAAATTATTTTTTCATCTTATTGATTTAGGATTTACAGATATGTATATATTCTCTTACCATCAATAATGATAAACAAAATCTGGTTTTGCTTCATAGTATCATAAAGTAAAATAAAAATCTGACAGTTTAAAAAAATGTATGCAACACTATTAAAACAAGTGGACTTTATGTGTGTGCATTCAGGAGACACTTCCAGGACGATCCTTCACTTTCTGGCAGTGGTTTGAGGGAGTGATGGAGCTCACCAAAAAGCACATTCAATCTTACTGGAGTGACAAGTAAAGAGTTCTTTTGTATCACTAGCCATTGTGATTTTTATAATTAAGTGATAACTATTAGTATTTGTCCAGGTTGATTTTTGGTTTTATTGGAAAGCAGCACTTGCATGTCATTCTCAAAGACAGCCCTGGCGGGACGTTCCTCCTGCGCTTCAGTGACTCAGAGATTGGAGCTATTACTATTGCCTATGTGGAAATGTCAGAAAGTAAGAACATCACTTTTTAAAATTCAAATTCACTTTAAATGTGTATTATAAAATTCAATTATTTGTATTTTCAATATTGGAAAAATACACAATTAAATAACTTTGCAATAATTTATATTCCAGAAAAGTTTCAAAAATTGCAATTTGAACTTGTTTTCCCCCCCTTTCTCTAGATGGAGCTAGGGTACAAAATATAATGCCTTTCAACAAAAAAGCACTGGAGATCAGTGGCCTCGGCAACCGCATCATTGACTTGAAATATTTAACATATCTGTATCCCAACATCCTAAAGACCGTGTTTAATAAGTACTACAATGGTAATGTTTTTATTTAATATTGGAAATGCATGTTTTGTCATTATTACCATGTCATCATCCCTATGTTAACAGGACCTGAGAAGGCTGCTAATCCAGGTTACATCCAAGTCCAGTTAGTCACTGTGCCCCAGCCCTCAGACATGTACGACTCCATTTCCTGTTACACAGCATTCAATGATCATGCTCATTAGTGATAAAGCTGTGTTTGTCTGTAGGAATGGCTCCTCCAATCAAAACATGATGAGACCCAGCCCCACACTTAGTAGCCCTGAGCCTTACTCTTTGTAAGTCTGTTCCGCAATACCATGTTGTGTGCATGTGTTTTACTTGTTTAACTGTCAAATTTGTGCGTGTCCACAGGGACCCTAACCCGGTCCAAATTCTCCCGTATCCAGTCACGGATCCCCTCTACACGTAAGTTAAAATTAAGAAGATTTGACTGTATACATTGTTCCAATTAGCAGCGTACTTTAAAAAGAATAAAGATAAAAAGTGGCAATGTGAGACAGGTCCCTTTCACTTACAATTACAATTACTTCCACAATTAATAATAATGTAAAAGTTAAAACACAAATAACTACAGATACAAAATTATAGTAGATTAGCATTAGCCTTAGCATTAGTACCGAGCATATTTTTGACTCATTGTATGCCTTTGTGTGTTTCACCCTCAGGGAAGCGATTGATGAGTTTCTAAATGAAATAAAAATGGATGATTCAACTCAGCATTAAACTGCGATTTGGATTTCACATAATCATGGACAAACAATGGATCATGTACATAGGAAAAAAACAATGTGCGGAAGTGGCTGGCCTTACAGTAAGTTATGTAATAGAAAGGAATGATGCATCTGATAAAATGAGAAATATGTGGCTGTATCAAACTACATGTGCCTCTTGCTTTACTGTCTGTCTCACTTATCTGTTTGTTCACTTGGAAAGAAACATCTTGAACCTTGATAGAAATAAGACTGGTTTACGATATGTGTATTGTTACAGTATTTCTTTCTCTGCGTTTGTGTATGAAGATGTAGAAGGAAATGTATTTCATGATTGTAACAGCCATATTCTTGGACCCGAACTTATAAATGAACGGCAAGTATGTTTTTTTTGCACTTTTTGCTTTGTGTGTGTTCTCTTTTGTTATACAAGTCTTTTTCACACATAAACCTTTGCTTTGATAACTAGATGTAAATATATGTTTTATGAATTTTAAGTTTTTTATTGTCCTAAAGGTTGATAACAAAAAGTGCATTGAACAACCTGCACATTTAGTCATTTTGATGGTGTCCGTCACTTAGTCTCTAAAGACGGATTTGTATATCTTGATTTTATTTAATTGCAAGTTTTAATTTGGCTAAGGTATACATGAATGCATGAATATAAAAACACAATTTTAATGGGAGGATGTCCCTTCTACAGATCTGTAATTGATTTTGTGTTATGTGTAAAAAGTGATTTTACTTTACAGTGACATGGATTAAGAAAGACGGAAAAGAGTTAGAAACATAGTATTTTCTTTACATATAAAAATAGTACATCATTGTCAAGGTGAAGATTAGCCTTAAAGATAATCACAGGCTTTCCTTCGCTCTAACCGCCAGAATGTTCACAAAGTCTGTCAATCAAATACACTATTCATCCAGCTTCTGTTCATTAGAAAAGATTTTACACTGTACATCAAAGTCTTTTACAGGCACATTTCAACGTCACACTAAAACCACTTCCCAAACAAATCACACAAGAGAAGCAGAGACCACGTGTGTCTCTAGGTCCAACTCAGCTATTCCCAAAGTCTGGACTCCTTTACTAATCACAATACATCTCCCACTAACAATTCACTTTATTTGGAAGAATGTGTTATGTAGATTCAAGAAGATTCATTTTGTCTTTTGTTAACACATTGTTTGTGGTTATTTGAACCACAACAAAATATTTGTTATGCTGTTCCAAAATAATACTTTTGAATTTAAAGTTGTTTAAGTCAGTGTCTATGTTGTAAATCCAACCCAATAATAGTACCTTTGATATAACTATCAATGACTTGTGTAGATCACATTTGGAGGCCTCCATCAATGCCCTTGAGGGCCCTGGACCTCACTTTGGGAAGCACTGGTCTTACTTGAATGGCTGCTGTGTAAACAAGTAATGGAAATAAATGTATCACTTCAGTCTTTAACAATTAGGATTTGAGCTCAATAAACAAACCAGACGTTTGTTGCAGTGAGCCACAGACACATTCATAAATTCAAACAAAGCCAATGAATGAAAATGTGAAGACATGAATGAATTCACACGAGGTCCACACCTGTACATCTGTAAAAGAGCTGCACTAAAAAGAAAAACTGAAATCAAATAAAAAGGCAAACCTGACTGTAGATTCAAAGATAAAAATCATTAAACAACCATCTGAAGTGTGGGACCAGACTTCAGAACGACCCGGTTTTATGTACACCCCAAAGCCTGACCAAAGATGAATTCCAAGCATATACAAAAGTGAAAATGGATCACTAAACCAGAGAGTAACTGACCAAAATAATAAGAGAAATAAATAAAATAAACAAGCACACAACAATGACACACATAGGATTTCCTCACACAAACAATCAAAACTGTTTCAAAGCACATATCATTTACCCAAAGTTAATGTAAAACAGCTGATCAATAAGTATCATGCAGAGGTTTACTGCTCTACTGTAGATTCACACTGAATACAAAATGGGGAGCGCAAACATTTAGGGGGAAAAAAATTACACACGCCCTTTATGTGTTCAGGCACCTGGGGCAAATCTTGTCAAACCACTGGACTTGTGTCTGTGGCTGCAGCAGAGGTGTGGTCCTGTGATGGTTTCACACTGTGTGACACAGTTGGAGGAGGTATGATGGACGCTTGTCCTGCAGTGCTTTATAAAGCCTGTGTCTTGAGCTCGATGGGCTCTCCCCTGGTCTCCAGCTGACCCTGAGCCTCTGGAGGCCTGATGCCCTTCAGCGTGGCCAGCCTCTCAGAAAGACCGCGCATACGAGGGAACAGCATGAAGTCATACAGCAGAGCTCCTATGGCAGCTCCGATCATCGGCCCCACCCAGTACACCTGCAACGGAGCCAAGTTCAATACATTATGATCTATTATCTAACAAGAAAATTGGTTAAATAGGTCAGTTGTACAAAAAAATGTATTATTTTTACTTACCCAATGGTTAACAAAGTTCCTAACCAGAACGGCCGGAGCAAATGATCTTGCTGGATTCATCCCTGCCCCAGTGTAGTACATCTAAGATAACAATGCAAATTACAATGTTTTTTTTTTCTTAAAGGGGCCGAATGACAGTATGTTTGATGGTTTGATTTCATGTTCTCACCCCAAGAAGATGTCCCATGAGCACAGAGAAGCCAATGGCCAGAGCTGCAGAGCCCAGGCGCCCATTGCGCCTCTCATCAGTCACAGCAAAGATGCAGATGACCAGCTGCACTGTGAGAAAGATCTCCATAGTCGTGGCCATGCCCAGACTGATCCCTGGCTGCAGCTACAGAGGCCAGGATGTCAGGATCATTCAAGAAATACCAAAATAAATGGCTTCAAGAATATTCAGGGTTTTACTCTTACCGTATTCAGTGCGAGGTTTCCCCTCATGTTAGTGGGAGTGACGCCATAAAGGACAGCAGCACCAGCCAGAGCTCCCAGACACTGAGCAAAGATGTAGAAGAAAGCCCTAAACAAGGACATCTGAGAGCCAATCAAATAGGCAAAGGTGACAGCGGGGTTGATGTGTCCTCCACTGATGTGGCCGATGGACTGGATGAGAGTAGCAGCTGCCAGCCCAAAGCAAAAGGCCACATGCAGAACATTGTGAGGCCCTGTGGTCCAACGCAGAGCGGCTCCAAGGCCAAAAAAAACAAAAAACATTGTGCCATAGAACTCAGCAAAAACTGCCCTCCAGAACGACATGGACCTGAACTCCCACATAATGTCAAAAATTTAATGAAAAACGCTCAAAATATAAATTAAAATATACAATTGGTAAAAAACAAACTAGAATGACAACAAAATGCTGTCAATCTGAGTTTTTCTCCAAATCTGACAACATCTATTGTTTAAATCAAAAACTTTTTCTCTAAGCACCAAGTGCCACACCTCTAATGTTCAGTAAAATGACTAAAATCATTCCTTGCTGACATTTGGTCTCTATACCAGAGAGGGGAGTGATCTGAGGCCTTTATATAACACCCCAGTGCCGAGCTAAGCCCACTACACCCAGGGGAGGGGTTGCACACAATACTGCATCTCCAAACAAAATGATGACCTCCCCTCCCATCCGATCAGTCCTGATCCACTATAGATGGTTATTTAGACAAAGATGAAAATACACATTGAAAGTGCCATTTACCATCAGTCATTGACAGAATACCAACCAATCTTTGTAATAAAATACTTATCACACTTTCCTCATTTGCAAACACGCTCACTGTGACGTCATATAAGAAAATAGAGAAGCCTAAAGTGGGCAGCACCTGAACTATGGAGGATAAAACGTTCAGTTGACTAACAACATTCAAATCTCAAAGCTTCACAGCGACTTCACGATTTCTTTTGAAGCAACAATGTTTTTTAACCCAAGATTGTCACAGTACATTTTCCTCAGCTGATTTGCTGCAGTTGCCTGTGGCAGCAGAAATGATTAGACAGACATTTACATTGTGTCCAGGGTGTGTTTTGGGGGCTCAGTCTGGATAAAGCCACAACTGCTATGAGGGAAGGGAGAGTGTGATGCTGACCCGGGCAGCTGGGGGACTGCCTGCCTGACTCAATAGATGTGATGAGAGTGCTGTTTTTCTATTCACATGAGCACACACTATTGGTTCTGCTGGTTTCTCTCATCTGTTTGCATTGGCCATTACTGTAGAAATAATCTCTTTTTGGCTGTTGTGTTGTAGTTAAGGCCATTAAAACTTTTTCATAATTCCAAGGAATGTAATACAAAAGAAGATATGACGAGCCTAAAGATTTGTTTATGTCTATACTGTATGGCAACAGTGGGTCAAGTATGAGGTCAAGTATTACATTAATAAAGGAACAAATTAATTTGGTAGTTGTCTTATGCACCTCTGTATGTTCTGAATGCCCAACACCATGACTGGAGAGCCATCTTTTGTGGGCCTAAGCCCCTGATTAGGAACATGGGGGTGCCCCCGCAAAAGATGCTTGCTTGGTGTTTTGTTGCCTCCAGACTGCTGACACGCAAAAACTGCAGCCTTCACACAAATGATCCTTCCTAACGACCAGACCTCAAATGATAGAATTGAATTTCATTTTACTTCAAATGATGGAGTAGATGATTAAAATGATGTATTGTACAGTATATTGTTTGCTTTTAGTTCTTATCCATATTTATTCGTGATGCCGAACTTATTTTGAGATGGGGTCAGCTTTGAAGTTGTTATTTTGACTGAACAATAAGTTTGACATAACTTCTCAATAATCCAATGTGCCGGGACTGGAACCTCTGATTTAAATTATTCTAATAAATAATTTTAATTATTAGAATATATAAAAAATAAAGCAGAATCCCTTCTATTTCCAAACAAACTTTGTTGGATGAATTAAAGCCAGTGCTGCCAACTCCAAACGGAGTTACTGAGTTATTATTGAGTTTGGCAAAATAAAAATGTGTCCAAAAAGGGAAAAAGATATATGGATATATCAGCTGTGAAAGGGGAGTTGTTTAAAGCCCATCGTTGGTCATTCTACGTTCATTAAAACCTAGTTATCCCCAGATACCAGGGACACCCTCCTTTTTATTGGGGTTTAATCTATTTTGTTCCCAACAGAGGCCTCACAGGCCAAACTACAGCAGCTCAACTTCACATATAGGAGCCTAAAATAGATTAAATTTGCAATTGTTGAAAATAGAATACTTTTTAGATTTGTATCATATTGCATTGTAATCAAATTATTAAGATTATTAATCAAAAATTATATTTTTCTATTTTAATATTCTGTCCAGTTGATTTTTGCGGAAAATATTTTTTATAATCATTTTTTTATTGTAAAACATTTAGAATGACCCCTAAACTGAACCAAACATAAGATAGGCTCGCCATTGTAGACTTAAAGGTCAATATTTTATTTTATTTTATAAAATTAAACTTTTACATTTGGTGTAGAACTGATTGTCATCGAGGCTTATCGATTCATATCACAATACTTAAAAATCTCAACTTGGTGACACATGTACCTGGCCTGGCCTTACCATACCATCATCCTAATTTCATGAAACCTAATACATGTTAACCCATGACTGTAATGTTGACAGGGTCAGTGGCAGGACCTGACCTGCTTAAATCAACAGCACCATCTAGTGGCAGATTTTTCAGTTTCTTAAGTATTCAGTCTTAAGTTAGCGCAGTGGATAAACATTCTCAGAAGTTTTGAATTAGGTTTTTAACGATATATAGGAAAACGCTTAAGGAGTGTCAAACAATTATGACACCACCACAGTTAATATTTAGTAACTTCACAAATTGTCTAAAGAGTAAACTGACAAATACTGGGCCAGTTTTTTATTCAATGGTTTGAGAGTTTATTACAAACTCCATCTCACAGCATCAGACTAATGCAACACAATTTCAGATGTCAGACATTGAACACAGAAATGCAATAGCACTGAAAACAGGGCTTGAGGTCCTTATTCTGAAAGCATTTGGAAGAAAATGACCCTGCTACAATAGTGTTCTTGGACAAACTGAACCTCTGTCACATGTCAACACTACAAGCGAAAAAGTGTATTCATGTGTCATGTACGATGAACAAGCTAGTTTTATTTCACTGGAGATTAACTGTTAAAATGACATAAAACAGAAAACCCTTTTTTTAAATGAACACAAAATGCAATCTACAATACAAACATTTAAAAAGGGAAAACTCATAAAAAAAGATTTTTGGACTTTTTCATAAGGAATCACAATATATAATCTAACATTGCAAAACACAAGTGTAAGACATCAGAACGTCTCATTACAGTCATTTAAGTCAATGGACAATATTTTCAATTGTTCATGCAGAACAGAAGAGAAAGCACAGCACTGTACGTCAAGAGGGTCTCAGTGCAGTCTGTATCAACAGTCACTCCCCTCAACAGTTTCTTTGAAAGAGTCGAAAGATCTTCTCTTGGAGCAGCTATCAACTTGAGTAAAGTCTCTCCAACGATTGATTTCTGTACTACTTCCACACTTGTCTACTCAAGATCAGGCATTTCTGAAAAGCGGACAAAGGATTTAAAGCACACTTCACAACTGTTGAGCGTCTTGTTATTGTAGTGAATGAAAAACTTACGTTCATCGTCACTGTCTCCAGACTCATGCTGTAACAAAATTTAAATACAGTTTTACTCTGACAATTTTATTCATTCACTTATATTCTTCATTTCAACATTTACCTCATCTATATCAAGATCATCCCCACCCATGTTTTTCATTATCTGAAAAATATACACCATCAGTGTTGCAACTTCATTGAGTAATTTCTTTCACCGGGTCCTTCCTTACCTCTGAAAACTTGTCAAACCCTGCCAAATCTTCATCCGAATCATTTTCCCAGTCTTTCCAGTTGTTGAAATCAACACTCAACCAGTTGCACTAAAAACAAACGAAAAACATTCTCATTGAGTAAACGTATAGTAAAATTACCAATATTTTGTATTGATTCTTTTTTTTTTTGAAAATCAAATCTATTTCCTTAAAGCTTCAACCACTTACAACTTTGACAAAGATGATTTCTCTAAAATGAAAGTAACTTGCCTTTGCTTTGGCTTTGGTGAGTCGCTCCCACGTTTTCCCTGGTTCGGCCTTCCGTACACAACATATAACAGACCTGTCAGTACGTCTGTGCTTGGATTCCTGCATAAAATAAACAAAAAATAATGTATAAAAAATGCATGCAATGCAGGAATGTTGAAATCGATTTTTTTCAAAAACATACTTTTGGGTCTATTTCTCCAAAAAATTCGACTTCATTATGTTGTTTGACATTATCTTTTCCACTAATACAGCTACAACAGAAATAAAATTATGACGTGCAAATGAATTATGATCAAGTGTAGAATATATCAAGAATATACAGCAGTAAATTAAAAGTCACCTGAAATCCATCTTGCTTTTGTCAAAATGTATTTTGACATCTCGACTGTCCTCAACACAGAACTCGACAAAAACAGCGTCTCGCTTGTCATACCATTTGGCTGGTGCAGGATTCCTGGTGACAGAAAATCTCAATGACTGTTGTATTCTGGGACTACACGGGTCAATTGAGGTAAACAATTTAAACCTGGGCAAAGCTTCACCATTAATAGTGGGCAGGGGTGAGTTCACACATCCTGTACAATTACATTTTAATAAACCAAAACATTGCAGCTAATCTACATACTCATCCACAATGCTTTGCTTATAGCCTTGGATCTTGGCTTGCATTTGGATTATTTTACCACATCACGAGTAATGCCTGTGTGTTGCATTGAGCGTTACCCCATTAGCTCGAGTGTAATCTACCGAGCTAATGATGACACCACGCTTTTCCATAGCTAACATTAACCTGTGATTGACATTAGCTTCATTGCTAATGTAGAGCGTTTGAGTGAAATGAAGAGCAAGGCGTTTAGTGTGGTCAGTGGCAGATTGAGTCTGATCAGGTTAGATTGAGTACACTTTATTAAATGTGAAATGAGATGCGTGAAATGAGATGCGTGAAAGGTAATCTCAGAGTGAGTAACACGTTGTACTGACAGTGAGGCTAACGCATGTGCTAGAACATCAGTAAGCTAATCTTAGCCGATTGGCCGACAGTACTTTGAGAACATGCTCTCCATAACATACCAAAAACAAATGTAACACTTACATTTTGATAATGTTTATAAATAATCTCCGCTGGGTTACGTTATTGCTAATGAACTCAACCCTTGTTCAGATTCGCCCGGTAACTACGTTCAATGAGACGTAAACAGTTAACAAATGAGCGACGTCCGGCTGTAGTATCGCGTGATTTCAAACACGTGACTCCTGCAAGAGAAGAAGAGAAGAGCGCTAGAAACTGTCATCCACTCAGAAGGACATAATAATATTGTAATGTCCTTCTGAGTGGATGACAGGTTTTATAAACTAATGCCTTGAAAAAATTACATAGTTGGTTGACTAAATGCATTTCCAGATTCAAACATAAAATTTGTTTGGAAGACATCTAAATAAATAGCTGGAGTGCCTTAGATCTTACTGTAACCATCATTTGGTCCAGAGGAACTTCCATATGGTCTTAGGACAAAAGATGTTTAAAATGTGAGCATTTTAAACATATTTTGTCCTGTGTATATTATTGCTTTATTTTCTTTCATTTTTTCAGATTTGCAGTCTTTGTACAATCACAAGATGGCCGTCGCGTTTCCATTGTATACAAATGCGATGTCTAGCGCTGTTAATACCATAATACATGTTGACTTCAGATCAGATACGATAGCTATGTGTATCAAAGCATGAATGGGACCATGATGTGTATGTGTGTATACTGCTCAAGTACTGCTCATAACATTACAGTCTGTAGCCGTGCAACATCTTGTCAATGAGATGAGAAAATTACAATTATAGGAACAAAACATAAACAATAAGCACTTGGCTAGAGGAAATAACCCACAAACGAGTGTTTTATCATTTGTTATTGCTGTGTGACATATTTGAGGTCCACAATGTTGACTTGTATGGTCCATTCCTAAACATGTTGTCTTGGGAGGCAGCTTCATTTGCATGACAAGTGAATGAGTGGGTCTCTGTATGTAGGCTGCAAGCACATGTTTGTCAAGCTCTAAATCACGAAGTATGATTCACTAGCTGCTCACTCACCAGCACACAACACATCGTCCAATCGTGTAGGACCGTGACGGACTTCCTGGTCTTAAATCTGTGGTTTCATCACAGAGGAGCGCCTTTACCTCCTCTGTGACGGAGGGACAGACCGGGGCTGTCACGGGGAAGATAGCGGGAGTGCTGTATTTATCTGGCTCACACCATCTTCGGCACTACGTGGCAGGAACTGGATAAGAAAGTCAAAATTCTATTTAGTTTTTTTAACATCTAACTCAAGGACGTGAGCTACGTGGATTACAAACAGCCTGGGACGAGCTGCTTGTCTGGGCTTTTGAGTCAGCATCGGGAACGGGAATTTCATCCGTTATGGATGTCCTGAAATGGGCGTTCATTTGGACACCATGTCTTGGCTTGACTACTAAAGAATAATGCTCCGCGGATAATCTGCAGCAGCGAGTGGCGACCACAGGCCTCTTTCTCCGATGGGTGCTCTCTAATCCCACCATAAACCTCCCTGACAGGTAGCTACGAGCTACGGAAAAGGGTGAGGCTTCTTCTTATTTATAAATGCATAAAAGCCGACATCATACAACCATGAAACACTTGAAACACCCGTCGATTCTCATAAACGTGGAACTGGGGTTTCATGTTTACGCAAGCTCGTGTTCATCTCTTCTGTTTTCTGTTCAACAGGGCGCTTCAACCGCGATTGAAGGAATTTATGGGATCACAAGGTAAACTATATGATTATTGTGCTGTCATTCTTCTGTAAGGACGTGTTTCAAATGAGCCTTTCGGAGATCTTCATCTTAGTTTCTTTGTTTACTATGTGCAATACTGAACAGCTGATCTGCTGCGAAGCTGCTTCTACTGCAAGAGGTTTAACATGATTCACCCAAACCCCAATATTTGTTCATATAATCAATAATATGTACATCTCAACTTTATCACAAGCTATAACCAGAGTTATAAAGTAGCACTCACTACTTTGAGTGAAAATAAAATATTTGCTAATAGCAGAAATTGCATTCTCACAATCCAAATGTGTGTCCTGTCTTTCCTGTGCAGTGTCCTCTGATGAGATGAGTGTGCGTGCAGGCCAGGGCAGTGACGAGGTGCTGGTTTCACAGGCAGTGTGGGATTACCTGGCTGCAGCGGGGCGCCCCTGGCTCATTGACTTCCAGCACAAGCAGGGGATGAGAGCTGGTATCATTAGGCGAGGGGAGAGGGGGGGCTGCTGTGCCGTGAGGCTGCAGCCTGTAGAAGGCTTCAGAAGCTCTGGTGCTGGGGTGATGGATGAACCCATCTCCAGCGAGACGCGAAAAGCTTTCATTGACTTATGCCGCTGTGCCCGAAAAGAAATGAGCAAACTGGAGGGGGGACCCAAGAGAAAAAGGACTCTGCTGCCCTGTGTTGGAGTTCTGGAGCCAAATGGTGGAGAGGGAAGCCTAATGCCTCCTCCTTTGCCTCAGCCGCGCCGCTCCCAGAGGCAGCAGCAGCGCTTCAGGAAGCCTGCAGATGAAGAGGCTTGTGCCATGTTTCACGAGTTATCTCACAGAAAGGACATGGACCCTAATATGTCCTCTCACAGTGAGGTTGATGACAACAGCACCTGCTCTATTTGCATGGGGGACATTGTGGAAAGGACCATGCTGGATAGGTGTGGCCACGCTTTTTGCCGCACCTGCCTGGACCAGGCCTTTAAAGTCAAGAAAGCTTGTCCTGTTTGTCGACTGGTATATGGACAGTTAATCGGTAACCAACCAGCAAATGGTACAATGATTGTAGAGAGAGACCCTGATATTGAGCTTTCTGGACATGAAGGATATGGATGTATCTGCATCATCTACAGCTTCCCTCCTGGACTACAGGCAGTGAGTAAATATGTTTTTTAACCAAACACTATTTTATACACGAGGACAAAATGTCTGTTTACACAGACCAGCTGTCTTGAAAACATCTATTTGAAGTCTTTCACAAAACAAAACCTGTTTGTTTGTTTTCATAGCCGTAAATCACAAGAGTAGTACCAACAGATCAGAGGATCAAACAGATTTGGACAAAGGAATTACAATAATAACAAATCCCATAGGAGCCATTTTTCCCTAGGGGTTGTGATGACCAGATTCCATAGTTCATCAACATTTCCTGGACCATCACTGTCCTTAGATCCTCCTGCATGGAGAGCGGTGAAAATAGTGTTCAAGTTACCATTGGTTACTGGTCCATTATCGTTGGTCTCCAAATGCAGCTTGACTGACAATCTATGTTTTTTGTCTTAGGGTTGTATTACCTACCAAGCAATATGATGAATTAAAGAGGAACCTTTTAAGACTGGCCTTGAATTTGGCCTTGAATGTCCGCTTCCTTGATGTTTCCACTGTATAGGAGCTTGGTTGCTAAACGCTCTGCCTCTGACTTCTTGACTGCTATTTGACACTTGAAGAACAACCAGAAGTCTGGCATTTTGCAAGCACAGTGCTTGATTTGGTTTATTTGATGCTACTGTATCTTGAAGGTAGAAGAACATACCATTTATAGCCTTGTATATCAAAAGAAGAATTATAAATATACCAATTCTCTACTCGACAGGAAGTCAGTGGAGTGATTTTAACACTAGAGATATGTGTTCCCTCTTTTGGTGCCTATTAAGATCATTGCTGCTGTATTTTGGGCGAGTTAGAAGCTTTACAGTAGTCAATCCTTTGGGTGACAAATGGGTTGATAAGTTTCTCTGCAAGGAAGGATAGTCCTAATTTCCGCTATGTTGCATCGATGAAACTATGCGATTTTAGCTGCTTGGTGTGCCCTGAAGGAGAGTTCTTGGTCAATAATTACTCCAAGATTCCTTTCAGGGTTGCTAACATTATCATTTGTGATTATTTGAGCAGCAATGGAGTCACGCAGAATGTAGTGACTGCGACCCTATGTCACTGGTGAATAATTAGAAGAGTAGAACTGCAGCAACACACACACTTTGGCCAATGCGCACTAATAACCCCAGAAAATAAACGGTCAGCAAAGAAATATGGCTACCCAGATTTCCTCGACATCTCACCTCATCGCCGGTGTCTGCCATTTTTAAAAGGTACTGGGCATAGCACCTGAGCTCTTGGGGCGTACGCACCACCCCAGACGTTACAATAACAACGCCAAATAAACCAGGTTAAGGAGCAGGTAGTTCAGTATCATTCAAATGTTTCAGTTATTTAGGCAGGCACTACGCCTTTCTAATTCATCTGTCTGATTTGGATTCATAGACGGGTGAAGCTGCGTGTCATCTGCGTAGATTTTGCAGTTGAGTGCCATAAACCTATGATGGGGTACTGACCTTTAGAGTCAAGTTTATAAGGTTCACACAAGAGAATATTTTTTTCCATTGTTGGTTATTAAAACAAACTAAATTGATTTATAGTAATTTGTATGTTCTTTTTTCTTTTGGCGTGTTCAGCCTGAGCACCCGAACCCAGGTGTGCGTTATCCGGGGACAGACCGTGTGGCCTACCTCCCTGACAGCCCTGAAGGGAACCGTGTGCTGGGGCTGCTGCGGCGAGCCTTTGAACAGCGCCTTATCTTCACCATCGGTACCTCCATGACCACGGGCATGCAAAATGTCATCACGTGGAACGACATTCACCACAAGACCTCAATATGGGGTGGCCCTCGTTGGTATGTAAGAATTTAATTTGGTCGGCCAAATACCAAAGCAGTTTTATATAATGTAGGATTATTCTGGAAATTGTAATTGTTGTAACAGCAAAGCAATTCATATGGATGCTCAAAGCTGCTTTAATAGTGTGGCATGTTTCTCATGGTGCCTGCCTGGGTTTCCTCTGAGCATGAGCAAAATATGTGAATGAATGAACGTTGTGGCCAAGGAGCTAATGGAGTCCAGTGGCACCTCCCAGGGCAGCTGTGGCTACAAGGGTTGCTTACCACCACCCCCAGAGAAAAGATTAACAAAACCTTACGCAAGTGAAGCATTTAAGAGGCCTTGACAAGCCTTTAAAACCACATAAGTGTAAGGAATTATTATTGACTGCATAAATGCTCTCCCTGTACTTGTTGACCTGTCCTTGTTTACATTATAGAATTTATATAAATGTCTTTCTTGAAATGACTATCCGTAAATGTCCTTGGCTCTATGCTGAAATTGACTAATGGCCTCCTTATTTGCTGTGACAGTTTTGGCTACCCGGACCCCACTTACCTGGTGCGAGTGACAGAGGAGCTCAGAGAGAAGGGCATCACAGTGGACTGAAGCCTTGTCACAATCCTCCAGGACTCTTTCCCTGAGCACCAGCCCGCAGCCTCTGCCCACCGCTAAAGACCCTCATCTGATGCTGCAGCAAACCCTGCCCGCTTCATTCCCCAGTCCCCTTTGTTCTTATCGCAGCAGTGGTAAAACTCGAAGACCATTTTAAGTGCAAAGCATTCTTGTATAAACCCTAATTGTTTATAAACAGAACATAAGCCTGATGCACAAGAGTGTTTCCATGTTGGTACAGTACAAGGTGCACTGTTTTATTTGGTATTATTTGTTTTTTGAATTTTTATGTTGTGATATTTTCTTTACATACACCCAAAACCCAAAAGTCCAAAAAATAATCCATCATTCTTTTTTTTTGTATTAATTCAAGCACTTACATGCCAAACAATGTCATTGTGTACAATAACTGCAGTCTTAGGCACTCACTGTTTTGTGAAGCAGGTTTTGTCTCTACTGAGGGAAAGAAGGTGAAGCTTGAGGCACAATTTATTGTCCCCATAGATAAATGTGAGGCTTCCTTTAAGGCAGGGGTTCTCAAACTAAGGGACTGCACTCTTGGTCTTAAGGCAAAGCAGGGTTAAGTGTCTTGCCCAGGGACACAACGAAAGAAAACATCAGTGGGAGCAGATGGCATGGGTTGTGGGAGGATCAAACCCACGACCATTAAGTTCAACGACCAATGCCCTACCAACTGAGCCACTGTCGCCCCAATATGTAAAATTGTCCATTTATCTTGAAATCATCCCACACTCCCCTAACAGAGTGTCTCACACCCCCCATTTTGAGAACCACTGCTTTAATGCCCCGGAGCGCTTCTCAGGACCAGACCTTTCTGCAGACCAGGAGCTCGGTTTGGTCAGTGCCACCTTCCCAGGACAGAGTCTTTGCAGCTATGGCCTGGATTTTCTTTTTAACTGATGCTGATGTCAGTTTCTATAAAGTATAAAATTACTATTTTAATATGTTGCTCTCCGTTTACAAAACAACAATGAATGTATACTGATTTTTGCAGAGCATTTCTGTTCAGTATATTTCCCTGGGGTCATTATGCCTTTATTACTCTAAACTTTCATGGCATTATTAATTCTCTGTAATGTACTCATCAAATAAACCAATCTAGATTTTAAGATGTCAAAATAATAAGGGCATATAGACCAGTTATTACAAACCAAATCCAAGGCACAAAAGCTCTTTAAAATCTCCTTGGGAGAGTAAACTTCTAAACTTCAGATTATCAACGTAACATGTAGAAAATTCATTGCTGACAGAGATAGATTGCAGGTACTGTTGATCTGATTTATTATTTAAATGTGCCTTCTTATCTTTCATTTTGATAAAGGCGCATGATGTAATTAAGTCATGATGTAAATCAGAAATAAATCAAATTTCACTTTTTAAAAACCATTTTCTTCTTCTTTGACTTCTAACTTGACAAAACGTCACATTTTCTTTATAATTAACTAACAGTGTTTTGCTAAATGATTATCATCTCATATGAAAGGGTTATTTATAAACCGTACATTTCAGTTGAGGGACCAAGCAACAAAAACTTTGGACAAAGGTTATGTGAGAAGCGTAACCAATATATCAGGCAAACCTGTCTATGCATTACATGAAGGAATGAGCAAATAAAAAATAGGGAACGTTGTTGAGAAGTTGGAAAGTTGCTTTTCCAGTTGTTTTAGTTTGTACTTTATTGATATAAAATGTGCTTTACATTTTAATACTTGAATAAAAAGTTGTTTGAAAAGATATGCATTTATATTTATTGATAATTCATTGTATATATGAAGAGTTCACTTTCAAAACAGATTTCTCTCTTTTGAAAATGTGTCTATAAGTTGTATTCCTCTCCTCTGAGAAAATACATGTACTAAACTACAGAAGTATTTTATATAACATAACATTAATTATACTAATACTAAAGTAAATACAGTTAAGTAAATTATTGATCAAAATTTCAGTTTGTAAGAGCGTGGTGGGACACTGATGGCAGTAAAATGTAAGCCTAAAAAAGCCTAAACCTGTAAACAATCTTGGAATAGTGGTAATTTGCTGAATGCGTACTTGAAAGCCATCAACACAGGGCAGCGTCATTCTGCTGTAAAGACAAGTTCAGTTTTCACATAATTACACAAGAAGTCTCATAAAAGATCCTTAATAGAATAAGAGTCATGACCAGCGCTTTCTGGTTTACACCCAATTTTAGCCAGTGGATACGTTTGATTTGACTTTTCTGATAACTAAAACATCAAGTGGAAAATCTCAGGCTTCTGTCTCATGAAACATCTACAGTAGTGGCCACCCAGGAACAAATGTTTGTCCCATTATGCCTTACGACTTATGTTGGTGTCAGACACAAAACCAAAACATAATGTATTGCTTTGATTCAAACGTCATCAGAGCATGCTGTGTACAGTTAGATGCCCTGTCCAATCACAGCACGACATTGTGTCAGCCAATAGCGAGAGAGTGGTACTTTCTTCCTGTATACTGACGGACGCAAACCCTTCCTGGCAGTTTATCCAGACCAACTTCTCAAACACTATGGGAAACGCTGAGGAATGTCCAGTTTGCTTGGACTTGATCAAAAATAAGAAGACCCTTCGATGTCACCATTCCTTCTGCTCAAAGTGCATCGACTCCGTGTTCCGTCTGAAGCCCGCCTGCCCCATATGCAACACTTTCCACGGTGTGTACAGGGGAACTCAGCCGGAGGGGAGTATGGCCGTCACCCGGAGCCACCAGTCTCTTCCCGGCTATGAACACTGCGGATCGATCGTTATAGACTACGTGTTCGCTTCGGGAGTGCAAGGGGTGAGACTTTACTCACTTTGGCATGACAAAGCAATTCCACCTTAATATTTACAGTCTCTGCTTCAACCCCATGTGCGCCTTTGGAGATGGCGCGCCTCTAACGTCCACTAGAGGGGGCAGTTGAATGAAATGGTGTGATTTGTTGATTAGAGCTATATTATGGGAATTAATACACAGGATCCACAGATTATAAACACCTATTTACCTATACAACTGGCACAAGTAACTATTGAAAGGGATTTAGCCCAAGTATTGTGAGCATGTTTGTATACTTATCATGATTATAAATAAAGGTGAAAGTTTACAAATATGCTAATAAGATCACCTTTATTTGTTCCATGCTCAGGAAAATTCAGTGCCGTCCATACAGAAGAGTAGGAATATACGAATGACTTAATAATATAAATGTCTGTACTATTTAAAGAATAACTAAAATATTTATGCTTACGTCTTAGTTTAACACTAACAATTACACTCAGTCATGTGTGCAGTGATAGCTAGTATTATTAGTGTACTAGCCACAATGAAGTAAATTCAATGCCAGATAAGTGAGAATATGAGACATTAGTCTTACATTACTACAGTGTTGCACTTGAATAGAGTTAGCAGTGTTTTTTGTTCATTGTACAGCCTGACAGCAGCAGGAAGGAAAGACTTTCAGACCTTTCCACAGCAAGGTTTGATCAGGCTATCGCTGAAGCTGCTGTCCAGAGCAGTGTAACCTGCAAACTTCCAGAAAACCTGCAAATTTCAGCTTAAAAAAAAAAAAAAGTCGACAGTTTCAGTCTCAATATTTATTTGTAAAGGCAACTGATGGAAGAGTTTTTGGGTTGTCCCTTGCAGTGTCTCACTTTATTGTTTAATTTAGGAAGAGCACCCTAATCCTGGAAAGCAATACAGAGGCACAGCTCGAACAGCCTACCTGCCAGACTGCCCAGAGGGAGAAAAAGTACTAAAACTACTCAAGAAAGCTTTTAATCAAAGACTTATCTTCACCATTGGTCAATCTGCTACCACTGGACTGAACAATGTCATCACCTGGAACGACATCCACCATAAGACCAGCATGAAAGGAGGGCCGCAGTGGTGAGGAGTCTATCTTTGATCTGTGAGGAGCTGTGAATGACTGACCAATAACACATTACTTCTTTCTCAGCTTTGGGTATCCTGATCCTGGCTACCTCACAAGAGTTCAAGAAGAGCTTCGGCTTAAAGGGATTACAGAAGACCTCTGAGAAAGTTTGATTAAACTTGTATTGTTTTTTGCTGTTTCAGTCTATTGTTCTGGCAAGACTTTAAACTATTTAAACCAAATACTGGCTATGCTAATTTGGAGTTATTTGGATAGCTATGGGCTGTTTGGCTGCTCAGGAATAAACAGAAATGTTATTCTAGATGCTGTTTAATACAGAAAAGGAAAAGGACGGAGAATTATTTAAGAGCTGTTATAAAAAACAGGTAATATATAGAGATCCTGGTAAAAGCTGCTTCGACTTGCACTAATTCATTTATTGTTTTGTCTTTATGTGAATCATTGTACTCTGTCAGGGCAGGTGTTAAGTTCACAAGCCACACTATTTATATTAATAATAAATAATGTATATTCCATGAATGTGTGACAACCATCAATTATGGGTTTGTTTGCAAAAAAATGTGCTCAAACTTATCCCTTGATTTTGGAGGGCAGAGGATTCAGAAATGTTCTTTGTCATTTTATCTAAGGTATGAAGTTTTGTAAATATTGTATTCTATATCGGATTCATGATTGCAAACAAAGTGAGCAAAACAAAGCTATACATAATATAACCAGCGTACTGTAAGCATCAATATACTGTATTCCTTTAACTGGCCAGAAGAGGGCGCTCTAAGCCTCAACATGCGCTGCACAGTGTTGACCCTGTGCAACTGCCTCGCTTCATGATTACTCATGGGTTTCTATGGTGATAGTTATAATGATGTACAGATGCCTTATTCATGTAAATGATACTTTTCTATTCTAGATTAAATGAGGTTCAGAATGAAACATGCGTATACGGTTCACAAGTTAAATATATTTCTATTGAATGGATGTAATGAGCATTGTCAGGATCATCATTATTGGTGTTGTGTGTGCACCTTTAACCAGCAAACCAGCAGCATTGACCGATATTTCAATCAACTCTCACATACACTGCCTATTCTTTGTACAAAATGGTAAATATTCTTAAGACCGCATGACTTCACATAAGGCAGGCATGTCCAAACTCGAGTCCGTGGGCCAATTAAGGCCCTCAATGTCATTATAGTGGCCCTCTGCCTTGCTTACTTTGTGATTGTGTCACAAACTTCTGTAAATGGTGCTAATGTAGCTGGTGAGTTGGTAAACATTTGTCATTCAGCCAACTTCCGCTCTGTTATAGATCATTTTAAAGCTCAGAAAAGCAAAAAACACAAAAGTAATGTATCTGATTTAACAGACGTTTTTGTTGGTCACAAAAGAAAATCACTTTTTCACCATTTTCCACCCACTGTTAGTGAATATAAACGATAAGCTTCAATAATAGATGTTTACTAAACATATTTACTTGTGACATCTGCTAATTTATTTTTGCAGTGGATTCCAGAGACATCAACATATATCGTTCCATGTATGTCTCTCTTTGTTGTTAAGCAAATGCTTTTGAAACAGTACCACTTCAGATGAAACATATTTACTGTCCTATATAATCACTGATAACAATGTCTTGGCTTCCCCAGAGCTGTTTAATTACAGCGTCTCAGAGTGTCATTGACCCACCACCCCCTCCGCTCTCTGCTGTTGTCACACTCTCATTAAAGGTTTGGATTTGTCATGTGAGGACATTCTGGAGTCCAACACAAATCTGAAAATTACAGAACCCATAAAATGAACCTTTTGGCCATTTCATTTATTGTAGAATTCAAGCCGATATTCACAATCTTACTATCATATTGTTGATCTATGGATAGTAGGAGTTTTGGTTTATCTTATGTTAGAATGCAACGTGACAGTGATTTCAGTCCCCACAATATGATGATACCTGCCCACACACTGTACCTGTCTATTCAGAGCATGTCTCCTGTCTTTTTAATGAGGATGTGCCCCCCAGACAGCAGCATACCATCAAAGCATTTTCACCCTGTTTTTGTTTTTCCTTGTGTCTCTCCGAAGTAAGTGGTTTTTGGCTGCGTATCTGAAGAAAAATGTGGTTGGAGTATTTCATTGGAAAAAGGAAATACAAGGATTTTATACCAGAACACGTCTAAGTAAAATATAAAATCAAAAGAGCTATATCTCAAACCACAACAGCGGTAGCCTGGTCGTACCACACCATAGTACAAGTTACAGGCAGTGAAATGATGATTGAGCAGAATGTACGGACGGCTAAGGCCAGGCTACAACAGCGGCTTTTTGCACCTATTTTTCAAGGGTGGCCTTTCATCGGAGTCAGTCTGGGACAGCTGTGTGGTACTCATGCCATTTCCGTACCTTGATATGGTGCCCATGTGAGGTGAGATGGATTGTCTCAACAAAGAAGAAGTGCTCACTGGAGCGTGTTCAGTGAGAGCACATACAAATGTGAACAGAGTCTGATAGAGATGCGCATGCATACACTTTTATAGATATAAGTTGAGTTCATGTGTAAAGAATAAAAAAAAATATTCATAGGGAAAATCATCATGGTCAATGTTCTTTTGTAATGTTACACACAACATATAGAAAAATCAACAACTGTCACACAAAACACTGAATGGAGAAAGGGGTAGGAGTTTATAAGTCCCCACTTCTTCCTACTCCTTTTTGAGCACTTTCAAGCACTCAGCACTGATGTATGTGCTTATTTGTTACAATATTATTCTGTATATATGTATGTAACATGTTCATACTAAGATTGCTCAAATAAATAAAATAAAATAAACTAAACTAAACTAAACTAATGTTCCACTTTTAAGAAGTCTGTTTAATTAGTCGATATTGGTTTTGGGCACAGACTTAGATCAAGCTTCAATTCTAATATATTTATTATATTTTACTATTGATGCTTGGACAAAATATGACTGGTCTCTGTCTTTCAACAACTTGTTAAGTTACTTGCCCTAGAATACACAGTACTTTGCTTCTTTTTATGCCAAAGGTAGAGATTTTATACTTCTTTATCATGCTAAAGTCAGAGTTTTTTGTACTCATGCTAAAGATGGAGATTTGACACTTGTTTCTTCTTCATGATAGAGTTAGAGATATGTATTGTATTTAGTACAGAGTTATTGTTCATTAATGTTGTGCTGTGTGCTCCTCATTCATACTGTTCTGTAACTGGTGATGCAACACTGAAATTTCCCCGCTGTGGGACGAATAAAGGATTTCTTCGTCTTAAGTTTACAATCCCTGTGTTTTAAGAAGAAAAAATGCGCTGCATGGTTAAAAATCTGGATCTGACAGGTAAATCTTACACACACACATTATACATGAAATAAAAGGAACAGGGAGAAGTCCTGTGTCTGTCTGTAAACATCCTTCTCTGTCAGACCACGGTTTCTTCTGTGTGCCTTGGGCGTGTTTGCTTAAAAGAACAGTGGAGTGTGGATGTGGGTGGCTTTTGTCTGTTTGACTGGCTCCAAGCACACAGCCTGTACACATACACTCCACTGGATACATGCGTTCGTTTATGGAGGCTGTAACATGGGCACAATGTGTTCTTCTCTGATTCACCGCCGCAGCGCTACTTTTGTCGACCTGATTTAGCACACGCCGCAGCAGTGCCCAGGATTTTCTTAGAAACACTGACAGATTTATGCTCTGAGTTAAAGCAGAGACACAAGAACATTTGGATTTGAGTTTTTTTGCAGCATTTGTTTTATGTCGAGTTTATCAAAATACATTATTTTACAACATTTTAACAAGGTTTTTAGTGTTGTACTATGCTGATTGTTATGTGTTGGACTAGGAATGTGTTTCATGGTTTGTTTGTGACCAACTCTGGCCTGGAGGTGACAGTTCTTCTGCTTGTTTCATCTGTATTCCTCATTCTCATTCAGGTCGGGGCCAAACTCTCATTAAGATCTCATCAAATTCTTGGTGGATAGTTTGTATATAGCTCTTCTTTTGGATCTGTGTTATTTTCATATTATAGAGGACCACATTTTTAGCATAGGATTACAATGATTTTATATGGTTTTATTTAACGTTCATATTTTGTTGGTAGATTCTTCTTATATTTGAAAGTTATTTCTGGGGTTGCATGTTTGACCTGCACGCCCTCTGTGAATTACATTTCTGACACAATGGAACTTTCCCATATTCGTGAAACGCATAGGACAAAACCTTTATGCTGCAAATGTGAATATAGAAGTCGAGTTTCTAATTATTACAGTGTTACATGACAACTGAATTTACTCATCTATTTACAAAATACAGCAGAAGCCATTATGCGATGCTCGTCTCTGGTCTGAAGCTTTGTGTTCAAGCAATTGGTGGTGGCTGTCATGGCAACACATATGACCCTGATCATTTCACAAACAACACCAAGGTCTGTCTGTCACAGCAGCAGCTGAAGCTGCATTTCTATTTAATGAACAGGACAGTATTTATACTAGTCTGATGCAGAAAAAGCTGTCCAGAAGTGACATCTTCAATTCAGATCAAGCTTTCAGACAAGTAATGATTAACACGTGATTGACATGTCTGTACAATTTGGTGTTTGGTAATTTTATTGAAGAGAGTTTTCTTCAGCAGACATTAATAGGTCTGAGCGGTGGTCTTCTCAGACTTATTCCAAACGAGACCACAGAGCGTACACCTGGATTCTTCTTTACCGTGTTGTCAAAGTGACGTCACATCCCAAAGACCTGCAGGAGTTGTCCAGCTGCAGCAATGTTCTGTCAGCACTTCACTTGTGAGATCAAAAACATCAGCAAACAGAAAGACGACCACTGGAGGTGAACGAGTAATAATTATACATGAACTATCTTTTTGCAGGACAGTTAAGTTTAAGTTTATGGGGGCGACAGTAGCTCAGTTGGTAGAGCATTGGCCTTTGAGCCTGAAGGTTGTGGGTTTGAGCCCACCAGAAGACCTACTTCACGACTCCTACTGATGATTGCTGTTGCGTTGTGTCCTTGGGTAAGACACTTAACCCCACTTTGGCCTGAAGCTCCCACTGAAAGATCTCAGCTCCTGTGGACTCACCACCTGCAGGAGGATCAGTGAGGGGCTGGTGCTCTGTGCCCCAAACCCCCC